ATTAAAATTATCACTAAGAAAACTTAGTAAATTAAAAAAAAAAGCAAGTATTTTGTTAACTAAATGAATTGATTAAAAAATAAATCTTTTAATTTACAGTATTTTGTTAACTAAATGAATTGATTAACAAATAAATCTTTTAATTTACAAAAAAAAAAACACATAATTATCATTAAAAAAAACACAAGTAAAGAAGATACAATTATCAAAATATCATAAGGTTTTTCTTAGTAAATAGAATTATTAAATGATTTAATTAAGATCCATACAAGTTGAGACCTAATATATTTAAAACAATAATAATTGAGGTTCATTAATTTTAATAAAAAAAAACTTAAAGTCATTAGCTATATTATTAAATATTAATTAATTAGTGTATAAAATAAAATAAAATTGATTGAAATTACAAATGAAGTATTGATTTGATAAAGATGAATAGTTAATAATAGCTTTAGTGCTAATGCGCTTAAAAAATAATGTTTAGGTGTTAAAATAAAAAAAGAATATAAAAAATAGTTTTAGTCAATTCAAGTTAGCATGACAAATATATAATTACGGTAATTAAAGTCGAGTTAATTTGAGGTATTTTGTCAAATTTGCAGCCTAGATCATGAGATTGAAATAATTTAATAAAAATATAAAAAGAATTATAAAGTTCATTTTTAAAAAAAAATAAAAACCTGTTTTAAATTTTTAAATCTGTAATTCGGCTCATTAGACCTAAAGCTCTCAATTTAGAAAATTCATAAAGTTTAATTCTTAATCTATTAAATATTAAATGATAAAATTAAAAAAAATATCAATTAAAAAATAAGAATCAAAATTGAAGTACAAAATAACTTTTATATTTGATTGAAGGGTAAAATTAAAAATAACTATCATTTTAGAAAAAAATAAAAAAAAAAAAATAACTATCATTTTAGAAAAAAATAAATTTTTTTTTAAAGGAATGAGGATCAAAATTGACATAAAAAAATAATGTTTTGATTGAATGGTAAAGTTAAAAAGAATAATAATTTTAAAAAAAGAGCAAAAAAATTAAAAATCAAAATAATGATGGTCAAATTAAAACAACATAATATTATCATTTTCAATTGAACGATGAAATTGAAAACTAGTAAAAATTTTACAAAAATACCAAGAAAAAAATTAAAAATCTAAAAAATAAGGACCAAATTGAAAAATATAATACTTGAGAAATTATTATTAAAGGATGAATTGTGATTAAATGATGAAATTGAAAAAAAAAAACTTATAAAGAGCCAAAACCAAAAATTAGAAATAAAAAGAATAAGAATTGAAATTGAAATTGAAATAACAAGATCAAACTGTAATTTTCAGATGAGGAGAGAAAAAACAATAAAAAAAAAAAGTTTTACTAATGACAAATCAAACCATCCATCATCAACGATATGTGTTGCACTAACATAAAAAGAATATGAAAACGTTTTCAATAACATAATAAAATAATATTTTTAAATATCATGAGGTGTCGCACATAATGTACATGATGTGTTGACACCTCCAGATGCTGTATATATATCTATTTTTTTTGTTTTTGATATTTAATCAAAGATTAAATTGTCTCTAATATGGCATGTCAATATTAAAAAAACTCTTTGGGAAAATAAGAAAAAGCCGAGTAAGGTTAGTTTTAATTTTTTGACTTCTTGATCATTTCTCTCTCTCTCTCTCTCTCTATATATATATATATATATATATTGATCATATGAAATTTTTTTTTATCTTATATCTTATACGATAATAATATAAAAATTATTTTAAAAATATTAAATTATCCTTTGATGTCAACATTGAAAACTTTTTTTTTAAGGGTATTTTAATCTTTTTTTATGTTTTTAAAAAGAAAAAAAATACATAATTGATCATGATTAATTTAAAAATAAATAATGCACCACATGAAGAAACCTTAATCTTCCAATAACTATTTATAAGTTTTTTGGTGAGGATCAAATATATTACCATACTGTTCCAATGAACAGTGCAAATCTGTTTGCTACACGTACAGTATTTATCAAACCAATTTGAACTTTTGTTAATAATAATAATAGAACTCCAAATGAAGATACGAGGGCCTTAGATTTAAAGATAAGGTACTAAACGAAGCTTGGTAATCAGAGAACATATTATAAACCTAATGAATTCAGGAATATAAATGACGATGATAATCTTCTTCTTTAACAATCAGGGATGAGAGCGAGAAGTGTGAACCCGCAAAATCAGCCAGAAACAGGGTCGTTCGTACCGTCAAATGATGGATGTGACACATTAATTATTAACAAACACTAAACGACATGGCATTTACGTTGTAGCAGATGTGCCGTGGACGCATACTAGTAGTGACATGTGGATTCACTCTGCAATAAGTGTTATTTTTGTCATAATTTCAAAAAACAAATATTCAAGAAAAATTTAAATTAAATTGTTAAGAAATAGTATGATTAAAAGAATAAGGGCTAGAGTAAAAAAAAAAATAGATAAAATAGGTGGTGGTTTCAAAATTTATTTTCATCAATTTACTTTTTTAACAGTATATTTTTAATCCCTCCAAATTTCTGAAAATTAATTTTAGCATAAAATTTTATTTTTTTAATTTTCTGGTCACTAGTTAAAGAGAGAAGAGATAATTAATGATCGAATCTTGACAATAAAAAAAGTTTGTTCACACTGATTTCGATAACAAAAAATGTTGATCATGATATTTACTTGTTTCATTAGATAATAAAAATTTAGTTTAGGTGTGTTTTTTTAACTTGAAGTTGATTTAAAAAGTACATTTGATCTTGAGAGGTTTTTTAATTTGAGTTAATTTTTTATTTTTGGACAATATTTCAGTTGTTTTAAAGCATTAAGAGTTTATATGGATCTCTAGATTATTTTGTAGGTGTTTTGGGGTAAAACTAAAACAAAAGGAATAAAAATGAATTTTTAGACTAAGAAACTCAAGCTTGATTTTTCAGTGCCCTTAGGTCATGGAAACTGGAGAAATAAATGATATGTTATCTATGTTGTTTATATATATATATATAGGGAGCACAATACATTGTTCACCTAGCCAAGTAAAAAAAAAATAACCGGCCGCATAGACCTGTCCTTGCTCTAACCGGTCTGTTAGAAGGAATTTTCTTTTTAAAGGGGTTTCCTTTAATTTTTTTCTTCATTTAAATAAAATCAGAATCAAAGAATTTATTTTAAAAATAAACCATACAACAACAATTTTTTCACATTATAGTAGGATAAATATTTTTTCACTAAAGTTTTTTTAAAAAAATATAATTTTTTTATGAAGTTATCCTGGTTACATGATTTAAATTGTAAATTTAAAGGGTTAATTTGTGTTGGTTTAATTTATTTTGTTACTTTTTTAAAATTATTTTTTTTATTTTTAATATTTAATTGATTAAAATTAAATTTTTTAATTTATTTTAATTTGACGACACTTAGCCTTAAAATTTCTCGATGGAGAAGAGATCATATTATTAGTGAAAAAATTAGTTTGATAAGATATAATGGCTCGTGGTTAGTATGTGATGCCATGGTTGTTGTATGTGCATAAAAATGTTGGTGATTGTTTGCCATTGGCATATAAAAAGTACATGTTGTGCATAAAATATATATATATAAAAATCACATGTGTATATTGCGTATGAAAATTTTGTATGGGTGGCTCATGGGACCTGAACAAAAACACAGAAAGAGCATCTCGGATAGATTTGATTAGGTTGAGGCACATTGGTTTTGGATTGAATTTTGGATGGAACACTCAGCTACTTGGGCATGACACTTCCAGCCACTTGGGCTTTGAAGGCTCAAACAATTGGAATAAAAAAATTAATATTTCTTTGTATCTCAAAATGTCATAAAATATATTTAATTGCGAAGTTGAAGGAGTTCCTTTCGGAAATAATTATAAGATATAAAATAAAAAATTTATTCTCAATAATAAAATAATAAAACAATAAAACGGATTGCTATTATAGTTATTAGATCTAGTTTAAAAGTTAATCTAACGCATTGCTATTATAATTATTAGATCTAGTTTAAAAGTTAATCTAGACAAGTAATAAAGTTACATGTTACTTGAGTTGATCCAAAAAATTTTAAAAAATAATTTATTATAAATCACTTTGGTTTCTCCTCATATCTAGGTCCTAAAAAGATAAATAATGCAAATCTCTTTTAGAATTCACTTTGCTAAAAAGTTTAACAAAAAAATAAAAATAAAAAAACAATATGCTAACAAAAATAATTATCTACAAACATTTTAATACAATTTAACAGGAACAACTAAACAAGTTACATGTCCAAAAAACAAAACAATTAACTGATTATAATTCTTAATTCTATATTTTGATAGACACTTCATCACAAACAACTTCATCAAGATTTTATAATATTATAGTTCAAGTTTGATGCAAAAGCATATTAAAAGCCAATACAACACATATAGATGCATCCTTGTGAACACCCTTACTTTAGTACGGTGCAATGAACTTGTTGAGCTTTTCCTTGTTTAAATGAGCAAAATTTGAATAAAGTATTGATAAGATTGAGTTAATTTTGTCAATTTTTATCAAAATATCACCATATTTCTCTATAACTTTATCATTACAATCTTTATCAATCTCATTTAAAGTTATCAAATTTATAATTAAAACATAATTGACGGATAAATATTACATACTATACAACATTTTATGTAAAAAAAATTAATAAAGTATCAATCATTCATTATCTTTATTGGAAGTATTTTTAATAATCAACGTTGAGAGATGTCCGAAGGAACATGTAGTGTGTACAGCCATTGACAAGAAAGAAATGAGGTTTAGAATTTAGAAACTACACGTTAAAATGGCAGGACCCAAAACTTTGGCTACACATGCTTGACTTATTGGCCTCCGTGAACTTGATTCACCATCACCTTTCTATAAATTGTTGGGCAAGATCATGGCTTCATGCATCATTTCTTGTGTGCCCACAGGAAAAAAAATAGCAGCAACAAGATTACTGAAGATGAAGATGGCGTCTTTTTTCATGATTGTGATGGTGGTCACGACGATGTTACTGGCTGAAGCACAAGTGTCACAAGCAGAGACATGCAACCCAGAGCAGTTGAGCCCATGCCTAGGAGCAATCACGTCCTCTACACCACCCTCGACCACTTGCTGCAGCAAATTGAAGGAGCAGAAGCCTTGTCTCTGTGGATACCTCAAGGATCCGAGCCTCAAGCAGTATGTTTCCTCTCCTGGTGCTAGAAAGGTTGTCAGTGCCTGTGGCGTTCCCTACCCTAGTTGCTAATTGTTATGAATATTATGTAATGGTATGAATAGTGTTATATATATCTATGGTCAAGGGAAATATGGAGATCAAGCTGTGCTACAAAATCTCTACGATCAATAAATTAACTAGTTTGTGATAGATAAATGTTATGAATATTATTCTTCTATGCTTTTTTCTTTTTTATTTTTGTATGATATCAAAGCTGGAACCCTGGTCGGATGAATGCATGCCAGATTTTCCTTTTTTTTTTGGGACAATAAGAGTTTTCAACCATGTTGGATGGTTAGTGTTACGACACCTAAAGCCCTAGCTACCTGGCCAAACGGCTACAGAGCTTTTTTTTCTTTTTCCCTCTCAGAAATTTTATTATGAATAAAAAATATCATAATTGTTTTTACTTTTGCTATTGGAATCCCTTCATTTTTATCAAATCACCGGAGTTGTACTGAATTTACTCCCAGTTTTATAATATCTTGACGGAAATAAAAGTTAAAGTAATTATGAGCTCTCTAAGATTTTAATTATTAATATTTAAGAGCTGTCATGGATAAACCACAGTATCTATATCATACCAAGAGGCTTTTAAGATCTTATTTGAGGCTCTTGAGATCTTCTAAGAGAATATAATCTAGAGAATTCTTGTTCTGTGCAGCAATTAGAATAAATCAAGATTATTTGAAGGTCTTCTCATTAAGAAAAATCAAATAATTTATAATTTTAGTGTTTGGCCTCTCTGTTTTAGTGGGGCTGAAGATATTATCATCATCATATGTCCTCTTCTCTGGCGAAAATAAATTAGTTTTTTATTATATATATAAAGAACTAAATCTCCTTTCTATAAAGGCCCTCCCAATCTGTACTTGAAATACTAACATAATCTACACGTACATATCAACATACAAAGAGTTTTCCCTTTTAATTAAAGGATTCATAAAAAATTTATTGAAATTAATATTCATACAACCAGTTCTTAAGGGCAGGCTTAGGGCTACCCCCCTCAACACATATTGCATCAATTACAATAAATATATTTGAATATTTTAGATTTGTAAACAAATGAAGAAATGTCGAGTTGCCAAATATTTCTATTAGTCTTCAACGTATAATTGCAAAATCTAAAATAGGTGAGCTATCAATGCTAATTGATAGGCTATAGGTCCAAGCACTTCTATCATTTCAAAGAGGTTGATATATTTTAGTGTTAACTTTTTTTTGTTTCCCAAATCAAATTATGGTTTTTTAGGGCAAAACTTTCAAGAACACTTGATTTCTTACCTCAAAATTCAAACTTCTTTTATATCTTGAACCTTTTTTATTCATAACCTAATTATTTGGATCTTATCTATAAGCATTTATACTAGTCCCAACCCTAATGATTTCATTTCGCCCACATCATCCCACCTTAAGGGAGTTTGACACTTTTTCTTATAAAATACATTTTTTCTCATAAAATACTTCAAACATGGCCAATTGCGTCGCCATGCTAAGGACTAGGATGGGTCTCCCTCGTGTTAGGATTTTATCAATATTTTTGGACTAGTTTTATATAAAAAAAAATTATAATTTCATGTTAGGATTTTATCAATATTTTTAGACTAGTTTTATATAAAAAAATTTATAATTTTTAATTAAGTTATCAAAAAATTATGAAAATTTACATGAAGCTTTGTAATATAATACTTTAACTTATATTAAAATTTCATAATTTTTAGAGAAATTTATAAATTTGATAAAAAATCATAATTTAACTAGTTTTATGTTATTGGATGTAATTTTCAATTTTATTATTAGATTAAGCTGAAATTTTACAAGGGATATTAAAATATATTAAATAAATTCTGCTTAAAATTTTAGAATGAACGGATCTTGGTAGTAATAACAAAAAAAAAACTATCAAATAAAAGCAAAATTGATTATCAGATTAAGCTGAAATTTTATAAGAAATCTTTATTATTAGATTAAGCTGAAATTTTACAAGGGATATTAAAATATATTAAATAAATTCTGCTTAAAATTTTAGAATGAACGGATCTTGGTAGTAATAACAAAAAAAAAAACTGTCAAATAAAAGCAAAACAACTTATTAAGGGTAAAATAGTTATTTGCCATTAAAAAATAAAACAAATTGACTCTTCCTTCCTTTTATATGTTGCCGACTGGGTAGAAGTAGAGTAGGAAAAAAAAAAAAGCAAAGAAAAGGCAAGAGAGAAAAGTAAGGGAAAAGTAGAGTAGAAAAAAAAAGCAAAGAAAAGGCAAGAGATAAAAGTAAGGGAAAAACATAAAAAAATTCAAGAAAAAAAAACAAGAGAATAACCTTGTAAATTTATAAAGTTTAACTTATAAAACACTAATATAAGGAAGAATTAAGTGAAGGAATGAGGAATTAAAAGATAAAAAATTTAATTACTTTATTTTTTAATTAACATGATATTATTATTTTATCGCGGTTGAAGGGTTGTTATAATTTTGATTCAAATTTGATTGTAAATGAATTAAATTTAATAAAATATCAAGTTTTTTTTTTACTTTTTACTTTAATTTTATATATTTTTAAATTTATTTTTTAATATTCTGGATAATGTATTTAAATTAAAACTTTAATACTAACTTTAAAAATTCATATTTATAAATTAATAATTACTTTTTAAAAAATTATATATTTATTTAATAATTCAGAGCAAGAAAAATTCGTAGCTCCGCTCTGGAACATGGCCATATTGATAATGACCTAAAAGCTATTATTGTAGACAAATTCTAATAATAGCAAGTGTTTCTTCCGGCTTCCTCTGTAACTTAGAGTACAAGATTTAAAAAGATATTTCAGTGTATGAATGGTCATCTTTAACTGTTTATAGTTCTGAGAATGAAATATAATATTTATTTTTAATTTTGTCCCTGGAGCATGATGTATATTCAAGGAGATAAAGATAGGTTTAGGTAAGCCTCCGAGAGTGTTTGACATTTTATTTCAACGTATCTTAGCTATTTATGGTCTCACAATATAGCCTAACTATAATTCTATTAAAAATAAAATAACTGATAAAAATAATCCTAATTTATATTAAGACAAAATCCAAGACAGTTGATTCAATCAAAACCCGATCGGAATCCCTTACATCAGAGGTTCTAATCATGCCGACTTTTGTTTCGAACTCCAAAATTGTATTTTTCTACAGCATGGAAGCTTGGTTCTCACCTGTAGTTTTTTGCCTCCGTTTCAGTGGCTCAAGAAATTATTCGCCGTCATGCATGTCCTCATCTCTGGCGAAATGCTCTTGTAGCCTTATAAAGTGGTGAATATCATCCATCTCTCGTGAAATCGATTTACAATTTAATATTAGTTTTAGGTTCTCATCTAATATAATAATATGTGATGCATGGTGTCAGCAAGATGTCACATGAGCCGTTTAGCTGGTAAACTTGCTTTATAATTTATTTTAATAAAAAATATTTTTAAAATATTTTTATTTGAAAATATATTTAAATAATTTTTTAAAAAATATATATTTTTAATATCAACATATTAAAACGATCAAAATATATAAAAAATAATTTTAAATTAAAAAATTAAAAAAAAAAACAAAACAACAATATAAACAAAAAATATCCACTTAGAATCTAAAATCCAAAAGTCTTTATGCAAATTTTAGTTTCACCTACCAATTCATTAAGATTTTATTGCCTACACCAAGTATACGAAAAGTTTTCTTATGTTGATGATTTTCAGCTCTTCTTTTATTGCACATTTCCTTTTTTTCTTTATTTGAATAATTTCCCGATCTCATCTGTCATTTGTAATAAATAAATAAATAAATAACTAATTGTAAATGCAGTAGACATGATTAAGCCCATGTTCAAAAAGAGGAAAGAAAGAAATATTAAGCCCTTGGGTTCGAAGGCTCACGTTAAGGATATTGTGCTATATAGATTCTGTCAGGGCCGATGTCTCTCTCTCTGTCTCTATTTAGGAACTAAGACCGAAAATTGAAGAACCAGGGCCCATTGTTTTAAACTAATAGTATTTTTATTTTGAATCAGATTTATTGAGCTAAATTGGTAAAGTTCCTCTTTATCTAATGACCAAATTGCCATTAACCACTCAACTAAAAGGTGTTATTTATAGTGACAATTAAAATTTTAGAGCACATTTTGATGTTAATTACATACTAAAACATTTGGGGTGTCCGACTAGCGCGTTTGTTTCTCTGTTCAATACGAATAATAAAGCAGGTGCATCCCCTTTTTGTCTCCTTTACATTTTTTTTTTCAATTGTTTTCTTCTAATTTTATTTGATTTTCAATTTTAATTTTTTTAACCAGATTATTTTAAACTAATTAAGTTGACTAGATCATATTGAGTCAACTCAATTTAATTTAATTTTAAACTCAAATTAAATAAAAAATAATGTCATCAAGTTTTTTGTTTTGTCAATTTTATTATTTCTTATTTAATTTTGTCTTCATATTTTTTTATCAATCAACCGAGTTGTTTTTAATCCGATCAAGTAAATTTTGTAACTTTAAGAAAACTCCAACAAAGTTTGATTAAACTCGGATTAGGTAAGAAATTGAGTTTATTACTTTATAATTTATTTATTTATTAATTTTTTTTCTCATTCTCTTTTTTTATTGAGCTACTTATAACTTGACTATGTGTTAAGCTCAAATGCTTTCAAAAATATTTTTGAAAAAATTTAATTTTTTTATTTTTTATTAACTTTAAATTAATATATTTTTAGTGTTTTAAAATTATTTTGATGTGCTGATGTCAAAAATAATTTTTTAAAAATAAAAAAAGTTATTAACATGTATTTTGGCACGGAAAAGTATTTGAAAAGCAACCACAACCACATAACCAAACAAGCAAACACACGAGCCTGATAAGATATCATTTTCTGTATTCTCGAGTTTAGAATCATATCAAATCTAAAAATCTAAATATGAAGTTGATAGTCTTTATTAGCCTCGTAATGGGTCATGAGGTTATCACTATAATTTTTAATACTAATAACTTAGAGTAGTTATTTCTCTATATTTTTAAGTATGTAAAAATC